CCGCCTGGCGGGGACCACCCCATTTCTCCGAGACGGCCCCTAGGCTCCCCAAACGCGCCTAGCAGACAGTGTACGGCCGAGGCGGGGCTTCGGAGCCCGCGGGGGTCACCTCCAATCCCGGGGACGCCTGTTCCTGGCGGAGCCTCCTGGGGTGGGGGTGGGGGTCGCCGGCGCCTCCTGGACTTGTGCGAAACCTGAACACCCGGTCCCCTCCAAGACCCTGGGGCACCCCAAGGGCCGGCCATTTCCCTCTGACCCCATTCGGACTTGTCTTTGGGGCCAGAGGCAGACAGGGGGCCCTTTTCTCCCTCTGCTACCTTCTGCCCCTGCACCTTTCCCCTGCCCAGGCAGACCCCTTTCCCAGCTGTTGGGCTACCTCGGGCCAGGAGCAAAGCCAGCCACTAGGGGAAGAGGCCGTATGAGGCTGGGCTCCATGTCAGGACTCGCCCAGGCTGTGGCTCTGGAAGCCTTCTTTGTGCCCCCACCGTGTCCCCCTCTCCACCTCTGGGATTCCTCCGACCTCTGAGGGCTCCCTACCACCAGGGACGGCCTGTTGGCCCAGCCCTATCTCCTTTCTTTTTTCACCTATCACTCAAAACCCTTTTTGTCCTCAAGCCTTTATTAGTCTGCTTGTGCACACCAGGCCTAGCTGCTGTGGGGAGTGGGCCGACAGAGAACACGGAGGGGGCTTGGTCCAGCCAGGTGACTTCCGGAATCCTCCAGCAGGGAGAGCCATCGCTGGTCCTGCTGTTGCTCAGGTTGTTCTGGTATTGTTCCGGGTTGAGGTTTCGCTGCTTAGCATCCAGCAGGACCTCCAAAATGCCCATAGAATTGAAACGGAAGCACGCTGTTGTCCAATCATAATAGCTAACGTCCACTGAGCAGCTACAATATGCCAAACCTGGTTCTCCGCCCATGAACGACTGGTTCACTTAATCCTAGAGGCATGCACTATTATTCCCACCTTACAGGGGAAGAAATGGGGGTGCAGAGGGGAACTCCCAGCCAGCTCGGTGAACAGCTAGCGCAGAGTTAGTAAGCACATCCAGGAGGCCTGCATGGCCTGAAGGCTGGCTCTGAACCCTTCCTGCCTGGTCTGAAGGCTGGCTCTGAGCCCTTCCTCAACCTTTTTTCCCAGGGACAGCAGTGACAAGGAGGTACTTTCCTGCCCATCACATAGGGAGGCTAGGAGTCCCCAGCTGGATCCTAAGCCCTCGAGGCCAGGGTGAGGAGCCCCTTCTGCCCTGTCCTTAAGGTTCAAGGGCCCTTGGAGGGGGAGGAGAAACTTAAGGTACCATAGAATGTTCTGGAATGTTGTAACTGCCAATTAGGGAATGTGAAGGGCCTTTCAGGCAGAATTCCAGAGGAGTACCTTGGGGCTGATGCCCTTTGTAATGGCCCTCCAAAAGTTCGAGAGCAGGAGAGGGGCTGACCTGCAGCCCAAAGCCCCTGTTGGCCTGGCTGCCTGCCACTGAGGGCCACCCACAATTCCTACAGCTCCACGGCTCCCTTCATCCCAGTGTCGCCTTGGCTACCTGTTCCCACAGGGCACCAAGCATTTTGCTCCGCTGCCCAGGCTTCCGGGTTCCCCACTTCACCCTGCAAGTGTGGCCCTGGTTTCCCTGGCTCCACACAGGTGCCCTCCTGAGAGCTGCCTCCCTGGTTTCGGCACTGACCTCTCACGTGGTGCTGTGGGGTCTCCTCCTCCTGCTGAGGGGTGGACACAGCTGTCCCTGGGAAGGGGTTTTGAGCCCATGTTTGGGGATGGCAGGCATGGGGGTTGGGTCAGAGTCTTGCACTTCCTGGCTGTCACTGGGGGCAGGTGGCTTTTCCTCTTGAGACCTCAATTTCCTGCCAGCTCAGGGCCTTGTGAGATGACGCCAATGAAGCACAGACATAGGCGTCCCCTACGTAAAGAGCTTGGTGGAAGGCCGGCTACTGTTAGTGTTATCATTGATGTCCAGCCTACTCCACAAGGCCCCAGCAGCACAAGGACCCGAGGAGGTGGGAGCAGAGGGAGCTGCCCAAGGTCAGCGGAGTGTTTGCCAGAGGAATCTGGTCAGTTGAGACAAGCGGTTTGTCATCATGGAATCATCTGATCTGTGCCTAGGTTGAATTCAGAGAGGGGAAATGAATGGCAATTAAATGCGAGTCTCTGATGGTAGGGTGGGAGTGGGGAGTGTGGAGCCGGGCCAGGCTCGGGTCAGCCTCCCCTGTTACTCCAATGTGCTCCCCTGTGGGGCAGCTGAGTCAGTCCCTATGGCAAGCACAGTGGTCCCCCCACCGCCAATCTAGCCAGTTCCACCTGCCCCAGCCAGAGGGCAGAGCCCCAGCAGATTCCTGTGGATTTACGCGAGGCCCCAAGGAAGGCAGGCCTGTCTGCAATGGGATATGCCTTCCTGCTGTCCCCGACCCTGGCTGAAGGCAGAGTCCAGAGGTAGAGGGAAGTTCCAGAGCAGCAGATCCCAGGAGAAGAGGGTGGGCGAAGAAGAGCTGGCTGCATAGGCTGCAGGAGTCCCAAGCCAAGGTGGAGGTGTGTCCTGTGTCCTTGTCACAAGGCCACTCCGTGCACCTCAGGTTGCTCCCTTGGAGGGGGAAGCTCGTGAGCCGGGACGTTGGAGGACCCCAAGAAATGCCCTCTTCCCCAGTACATCTTTTGGCCCCTCAACCCATCCCCACCTCCACCTCCACTTTCTTTTATATCCCACCCCTTCAACCTTCCAGAATAGGTTGGAATCCGACCCTGCTGGTGACCCCAGCACAGGCCTTTGCCCAGAGGTGAGGGCTGCGGAGACCTAAGGGTGGGAGTATCTGACTGGCCAGAAAACACACTGGGTCAGTGGCTTGACTGGACAAGGTGGGGGCCAACTTGGGTCAGAGGGACCCCGGAAGCAGAAGGTGAGGTGTCTTGCGTGCCTTGCAGAGAGGTGGCCATCGTGGGGCAAGAGCACGGAGCCCAGCAGGGGCCACGGTCAGGCAGCTGTGCTGGCTGTAATCGCCTCAGCGCTGCTGTGATTTTGTGGGCATGTGAGTTAATTTTAGTTGGTGTTTTTGAAAGACCTGAGCAGCAGTCTACCCTCCAGGGGCAGCCACAGCCAGCACTTCAAATGTGGTTGTCTACTGTCACAGCAGAGGGTCTGTGCGTTAGCACGGGAGGGTCAGAAATCATTGTTCTGTAGTAAAAAAAGTATTACTGAAGATGTGTGCCTGGGAAGAAGCACCACAAGTCCCCTCTGCTTGTGCCTGGATGAGCCCAGCCACCAGCAGGGTAGTGCCCTGGGTCTGGAACTTTCTCTGAGTGGTTCTGGGCCCCTACAGGTGATGCTCCGACTGGAGGTTAGCTAGTCATTGGTGAGCATGTCCTTGAATTCGCCCTGACAAAAGCTTTTGTGACGGGACAGAGTGGGACTTCCCGGAGCTCATGGGCAGAGGCGGGGTGTCTGTTTCTGTGCTTCGTGCTAACAGATGTTTCCAGTAGGGTAGCTGTTGGGTCTGAGAGTTGATTTCTGTAACATGCCACCCGATGGGGAAGTGTGGGGTGAGACCTACGCTTTCTCAACTACCTCTGGTCCTTGAAGGCCACCAATATCTACTGCAGAGAACCCGACCTATCCTGCAGGCCAGTGCAGGAGGGACCTCAAGGCTGCTGAGTCAAGGGGGTCACTGCCCAGACAAGCACTGGGGGAGTGCCCCCAGGTAAACTGGTGTCCCCCAGAAATGGCTCCCGTGTGAAACCAAGGCAGTGTCTGGATCGAGGGCAGAGGGAAGGGAAGTAGGTATGGAAAATGAAAAGGGAGAGCACATTTCTTCCGGGGACAGGTCTTCCTTTGAAGGGGTGGGAGGAGGAGGAGGCCAGGATGGAGCAAGCAGAGAGGTAGGAGGAGATGACCGTGTCTTCAAGGCGTGAGGTGGTCTGGAGTCTGGGAAGTCCCCTTGCCCAAGGGAAGACTGGGCTAGAAAGAAGCCCAGATCACAAGGCGTTCAGCTGAAACAGGAAAAAGTTTAAAGAGGCTGCATGCGGCTGGGCGCGGTGGCTCACGCCTGTAGTCCCAGCACTTTGGGAGGCCGAGGCAGGCAGATCTCTTGAGGTCAGGAGTTCGAGACCAGCCTGACCAACATGGTGAAACCCCGTTTCTACGAAAATACAAAAATTAGCTGGGCGTGGTGGCAGGTGCCTGTAATTCCAGCTACTTGGGAGGCTGAGGCAGGAGAATCACTTGAACCTGGGAGGCAGAGGTTGCAGTGAGCCGAGATTGTGCCATTGCACTCCAGCCTGGGCAGCAGAGTGAGACTCCGTCTTAAAAAAAAATAATAAAATAAAAAAGGCTGCAAGCAGGGCCCTCATAGAAGCAGCATGCCAGGAAGCATGCCAGGCAGCATCCTGCTGCGGCGAACCCTGAGGTGCCCTTCCATGGCCCAGTCCTGCCCAATAAAGCCCAGCCCACCAACCAGGAAGACACCTCGCCCTCCCCGAGGAGGTGCTTCTTACCAGTTCCAGAGCCCGCATGCAGAGATGCTGCCTAGGAGGCTGTAATTCCCCAGAGATGCCCAGTGATTCTCACAATGTAGGCAGGTTTGGGAACCACCGGCTTTGAGCCCTCCAATGCCTGCTCTCTTGGTCGGCCTTGAGCCAGGGCCAGAGGAGGGCCACTGCTTCACTGAACCTGGGCAGGAGAAGGACAGAATGGGGAAGCAGCAATGGAGGAGACTGGAGCCAGAAAGGAATGAGTTAAGGAAGTTAAACGTTCCCACTGAAATAGGTGGCAGTTGAGGAAGCAGAAGTGGGTTTAGGAGCTTGAGAAGAGTGGAAGAGGGTGTCCACAGCCTCTGTGCAGGATCTGAGAAGGTCAGGGAGGAACGATGAGGCGTGTCGAGGGCCAGGCAAAGGTGCTCCCGGGAAACCCAGCTGTGCGGTTCCAGGCAGGGATCGCCCAGGGCTCCTCTGGTTGTGACAGACAACAGCCTGACCCAAGGTGGCTCCAGCCAGAGGGATTTGTTGGCTCATATAACAGGATCCCCCTCTCCCTACACAGCCTCTCTCTCTGGACAGTTGCCCAGCCCCTGGCAGTTCCCTAAGGTCCGTGGGCTTCTTCATGAAGAGCAGGAGAAACACAGGCTCACACATGGGCTGAGGCACTTGTCACCTCATCTCAGGGACCTCAGAGAAAAGAGAGATTTTTCCCTCTCTCACCTCCATATACAGATGTCCAGGGAAGGACTGTCACTAGTCTCGCTTCAGTCATGTCCCCAACCTGGGCCAATGATCACGTTGGGGAGGCGGGGGCACCACGGTTGGCCAGGCCTGGGTGATGCATTCCCTTCTGTGTTTGCGACAAGTCCTGAGATCTGCAGCCTCATAGGAACAGCCTGGAGTGGGCAGATCTATCAAAAGAAGCTGCTGTTATCACGAAAACCCGGTTCCAGAGGCTCACTCAGCAGCCGCAGAGATGCCCGGGCCGGGTCTCCCCTCACGCCAAGCCCCTGGGACTCTCAGGTCATCCAAAACAAAGCCCTAGATGAGAGTCCCCGAAGGCCGGAGAATCAGGTGGGAGGTGCTGGGAAATGCCTCCACACATGCCCCTGATCACCCCTTCTTTCTGGGGTGGGGGGAGCCCCAGGCTGGCCAGCGGAGGGAGGACGCAGCTCCTTCTGGGGCTGAGCAGCTCTCCGGACTCCTTCCTGTGGCCAGGCACCCACTGGCTGCTCTGGGCTTTTTGGGTGTGGGACCCAGGCAAGTCAGGGTAGAGCTGGGCAGCCAGAGAAAGAAGCTGGAGTTCACAGATGCTGAGGAACTGGAAGCCCAGCAATGAGGGCTCAGAAGGCAAAGAAGGAGTGGAGCAGCACGCCCCAGACACAGGGCGGTGGGGCTGCACCTCGGCAACTGTCGGCAGGGGCGTTGTTGGGCACACATGGACACACACTCTCACAACCACTCACACACACGCAGAAACATGCAGGCATACGTGTGAACCCAGACACATGAACACACACACCCAGGGACATGCATGCACACACAGACACGTGTATTTGGAGAGACACAAACCACACCTACACACATAGAGGTCAGATACACAGACATGTGCGTAACCCTCACACGTACACACTCACACACCTGACATCCATGCACACTTGGTAAAAAACACAGACACACCCATCCACACACACACAGCCAGAGACACGCGCACACACACACACACACACCATGCCATGGTCTTTCCCAGGTGGAAGGGGCCTCCCCCAGCCAGCTTATCTGCCACCAGTGAAACTCTGCCTGGTAGACCCTTGGGAAGGGGCTCAGGACCAGGCAGGGCCGTGTTACATCCGTGAGCAGCCCTTGTGATCCTTGCCCAAGTCCTCAAGTCTGTGCCTCCCATGACCTTCTGGGCCCTCTGGGCGCTGTCCACACACCCTTAACACCACCCGCATCTGCCCCCACCTCAATCCAGCAACCCTGTCTCCGTTCACTCAGATCCCAGCTTCCTTCTGCTCAAATGTGCTCTCCCCACCGCCTTTGAGAATCCGGTGAGTGCCTGCTCATCTTTCAAAACCCACCTCAAATGCCCCCTCCCTTGGAGCAGGCGCTCCCTCCTTGGCCGGCGCTCCCCTGCACGAGCCTCCTCTGTCTGTACCTCCTCCACCTGTCCCACCACACGGGGCACTGCTAAGAGCAGGGACCGGCCCTTCCGTGTTCCTGGTGGGCAACACGCAGGAGGGCGGGGCTGATGCCCACTGGCTGAGCAACTGCAGGACCACATCGCCAGCGTGGCCGCCTGGAGGAGACCCGGGCAGGGAGGAGGGGCAGCCATATTCAGAGGGCAGTGGGGTGTGCCCACCCCAGGGACCCCGGGGCGGCCTGGGCAGATGTGCAGAGCCTCAGACCCACCCCCAGCACACACTGCCACACATTCACCCATGGTGGGCATTGTGCCCCTCACTCTGGACAGCTGGGCCCAGGCAGCACCCTCCCCCAGGCCACCATGACTCACATCCCACCCGCCGGGCGGCCGGCCTGGGTACACACAGCCTCCTTTCAGCCCCTCGGCCTCAAACACTAGCTTAGTCTTCCCTCTCGGGCACCTCCCCTCCCAGGCTGGCAGCTCAGCCCCATGCTGAGGCCACGCGGAGGCCTGCTTCCTCTCCGGAGCACAGGGCTCCCTGTCTCTCGTCACCCGGCTGCCGTCCAAGCTGGCCCTGAATGGCTGCCTTTTCATGGAGCAGAGCCTGGCCAGGTGCAGGCTGGGCAGCCCTGCTCCCACTGGGCCCGCCAGATCTCTCTGCCTGTGGCTCTGCTGCCCTGGGAGAGAGGTGGGCTGGAGAGCTGGAGGGCTCCAGAGGTCCTTCCCTGCCTCTGGCCAAAGGCCTACTTACACACACACGAAATCTCCTCTTCACACACACCCTCCTCTCTGCTTCTCCAGCAGCCCTACAGCCTGGCCAGGCACAGATTCTTATTAGTCCTATTTTACAGAGAAGGAAACAGGCGGGTCGGTGGTGGGGCTGGGACTTGGTGCCATTAGAGTAGCATTAATAATGCAACCTGGCCAGGTGTGGTGACTCACGCCTGTAATCCTAGCACTTTGGGAGACTGAGGCAGGAGGATCGCTTGAGCTCAGGAGTTCAAGACCAGCCTGGGCAACACAGTGAGACCCCCATCTCTACAAACATTTTTAAATTAGCAGGGTGTGGTGGTGTGTGCCTGTGGTTTCAGGAGGCTGAAGTGAGAGGAGGCTGAGGCTGAGGTGAGCCTGGGAAATTGAAGCTGCAGTGAGCCATGATTGCATCACTGCTTTCCAGCATAAATGATAATAAATAATAGTAATATTATTAAATATTTTCTCAAAAAAAATTAATAGTGTGGCCTCACAGGGTTGCAGTGAAGCACTAAGGCAGCAGGCTCCCTGAGCACCGCTAGCAGGTCCACAGGTGGCCCCCATGATGATAATCACAACATCATTTCTGAGTTTGTAGCTGGCACCTCTCTCCATATTTTAGTAGAGACCTCACTCCTCTAGTCTCAGGGGTGACCTCTCGGCCAGGTTGAACCAGTCATGGTACCTTATACCCCTTGCACCCCAACAATGTGCTTGGTCCAAGCGATGGGCCTGTGACCTGAGCTGGGCCAATCAAGGCTCTTCCCGGGGCATTTTCAAAGGGCACTGGTCTCTGATCATCAGGGTTTTCAGGGTGTGACTCTGAATATATTGGGGAAATGCTGTACTGTGCGCCCCAGGCCCCTTCCCTGCAGGGAAAAGACTAAAACAACACGCAAAGCAAAACAGAGAAGCCAGAATCTGAACAGGGCTGGAATCCTGGTTTCGAGGCCCTGCAGTGGGCAAATGAATGCCCTTTCCCCAAAGATAT